AAAACGAACTACTAATATCAGAAATCTTCAGATAGAACGAAATGCGAATATCAGAAAGTTCAGATAGTTGTTGCGAGAAAAAATTTTCAGAGATTTGACTAAGTCCTACTTGCGTTACTAATGAGTGATCAATAGATCGCAAGCTGGCTACTTGATTGAGCGGGTCCTCTGTATGAGAGGTCCGCTCCGATACCAAACTGTTGTGCAACAGTTTGGTATCGGAGCGGACCTCTCATACAGAGGACCCGCTCAATCAAGTAGCCAGCTTGCGATCCGTAGAGGTGCAGACCAGAACAAGAACCGACCTTTCAATACAAAGTATAAGATAGCACAGCGGAAGACTTAGATACTAGTGATCCGAACAATCAATGTTGTAATGCAGCCCTGAACATACATCATCATCATCGTTTCATAGTGTGAATGGGTCTGGCGCTTCATACAGGAAGACAGCGCCAGCCCAGAACATGCACAGACGAGGAGGAAGGGGATAGACGAAGAGGAGGGGGAAGATGGGAATGTCGTCAACACCAAGTCTTCGGCACAAGCCCAAATAGTGCCTTGTCATAGTCTGAGAAGTCAGGTGGCGAGAGGGTGAGAAGAGAAGGTGGACTTAGAAGAGGAAGAAGAAGAACTCTCTCTCTCTGGGTCCAGTACTAACCTGTGAAGTTGGCGCCTTGATGCAGGTACCACGAAGATAGAGCTGGAGCGATGGCGCCACAGGTAAGTAGCACTGGCCTCCGCCAGTCTCTCTCCCACTCTATGATCTACTACCTACCAGCGCCCAACGCTGAAGACTAAGCTACAGCTATGGCGCCCCGCGCCGAAGACTACAGCTAGCGCTACTACTACTGCCTAGCGCTGAAGACTACTGCAGCGCTCCTCCTGAGTGCTGCGACCGAATCCTGAAGACTACCTCTACCTACTGACACGACCTCCCCGTGAAGTGCATGGGATCCTCCTATGTACTACGGGTGTGCCTCTTGAGCCTGCCGAAGGAAGGCAGGGGCTGCAGCTGCAGCTCCTGCTCGAGCACGTGAGGAACAGGCTATCTTGGGCCTGTTCTGCATCCCTGTTTCCGTGCCTGAGTCTTAGGGGCAGGTCGAAAYAATGAGGGCCTGAAAATGGCCCTCCGTTTCAGGCTGAAACTCAAGGTCTGAAAAGACCAAGAAATAGGYTGAAAYGAGGTAGGGCCTGCAGGCCCTCGTTTTTCAGCATCCAGGCTGAAATGAACGGGGCCTGTAAGCCCTAAGTTTTAGGCTTTTAGGCTGAATGTCCGGGACGGGCCCTGTAGGCCCGTGTGGCTACGNATCCAGGCTGAAATGAACGGGGCCTGTAAGCCCTAAGTTTTAGGCTTTTAGGCTGAATGTCCGGGACGGGCCCTGTAGGCCCGTGTGGCTACGCACTATGCCACAGTTGGGGGTGGTCGTCTATGGTGGATGGGTGTAGGTGATGGAGGTGGAAGAAGGTTTGGGGATGGTCGGCTTTCGATGAAGAAGAAACATCACTGAAGTATCCCGAAGTGAAGTGCCACACACACACACTCATCAAGGACAGCATAAAGACAAGATTCGGAGCATCCTATGAGGAGGAAACATCACTGAAGTATCCCGAAGTGAAGCGCCACACACACACTCGTCAAGGACAACATAAAGAGAAGATTTGAAGCAATCTATGAGGAGGAAACATCACCGAGGTATCCCAAAGTTAAGCGCCACACACACCCTCATCAAGGCCAGCATAAAGACAAGATTCGGAGCATCCTATGAGGAGGAAACATCACCGAAGTATCCCGAAGTGAAGCACCACACACACTCCCATCAAGGATTGGATGAAGGTAAGATTTGAAGCATCCTAGGGGGAGGAAACACCACGGAACTTTGACAAGGTGAATCGCAACCCATCCAGGCTCCCAATTCAGTGAAAACTCAAAGTTTGAAGCATCAACACCAAGGGGAACATCACGGAACTTTCACAAGGTGAATCGCAACTCATCCAGGTTCCCAAATCAGTAAAAACTCAAAGTTTGAAGCATCAACACCAAGGGAAACATCACGAAACTTTCACAAGGTGAATCGCAACTCATCCAGGCTCCCAAATCAGTGAAAACTCAAAGTTTGAAGCATCAGCACCAAAGGAAACATCACGGAACTTTCAAAAGGTGAATCGCAACTTACCCAAGCCCCCAAATCAGTGAAAACTCAAAGTTTGAAGCATCAATAGAAGGGGAAACATCACGGAACTTTCACAAGGTGAATCGCAACTTACCCAAGCCCCCAAATCAGTGAAAACTCAAGATTTGAAGCATCAACACAAGGAGAAACATCACGGAACTTTCACAAGGTGAATCGCAACTTACCCAAGCCCCCAAATCAGTGAAAACTCAAAGTTTGAATCATCAACACAAGGGGAAACATCACGGAACTTTCACAAGGTGAATCACAACTTACCCAGGCTCCCAAATCAGTGAAAACTCAAAGTTTGCAGCATCAACACCAAGAGAAAACATCACGGAATTTTCACAAGGTGAATCGCAACTTACCAAGGCTCCCAAATCAGTGAAAACTCAAAGTTTGAAGCATCAACACAAGGGGAAACATCATGGAACTTTCACAAGGTGAATCACAACTTACCCTGGCTCCCAAATTAGTGAAAACTCAAAGTTTGAAGCATCAACACCAAGAGAAAACATCACGGAACTTTCACAAGGTGAATCGCAACTTACCCTGGCTCCGAAATCAGTGAAAACTCAGGATTTGAAGCATCAACACAAAGGGAAACATCACAGAACTTTCACAAGGTGAATCGCAACTTACCCAAGCACCCAAATCAGTGAAAACCCAAAGATTGAAGCATCAACACAAAGGGAAACATCACGGAAGTTTCACAAGGTGAATCGCAACTCACCCAGGCTCCCAACTCAGTGAAAACTCAGGATTTGAAGCATCAACACAAAGGGAAACATCACGGAACTTTC